CTGTTAGGTTCCTCGACCTACTCAATTGCATAGTCATCCCATGCCGGAAAGTAGTCAGAACGGAGATCTGAGGCCTGTAGCATCTCCTTGCACCAATCATTTTTTAGATTGATGCTCAAGGGACTTTTTTCCAGTAAGGTTCTGCCCATGTGTACACCCTCTCCCCTGGCCTTGCTTCTCACTGTTGCCATTTTCAGAGGGCACCATCCTGCACAGCAAACATATTTAATACCAATCTTTGTGTGTATTTTGATAATACTTTTATTTTATATAATATTTCTGATAATACTTTTATCAGCAATGGTAGTATGGGGCAGTGTTGCAGAATGGGCACCCCCCCATTCCATTCCAATTCCATTCCGGGGAATCAGAATTTCGATAGTTCAATTCTTTTCAACTCCTAGGAATGGGGACACTGGGCCTATTCCCACTCCTGGAATGGCTGAATCGTTCCATTCCATTCCTCTAATTCCTAAACGTAAAAAAAAGTCACTTGACAGCTACATAGGGTTGCAACTTGCAGGGTTTGGCAGAAATGCTCAAAAATGTATTTGGAAATACAAATACTGGGACAGATGAAAATAGTAGCTAAAATACTGATACTCAAATATATCCGTAAAAATGCATCGCGATACGAATCGGACATACATTTTAAAGAGAGGCAAAAAGTGTTTGGGAATACAATCGCTGGAATACATTTTAAGGAGGGAAAAAATGTGAATACTGATAATGCAATATATTTTTCCAATTTCTTTGAGACGCCAACTGAGATGAGGCTTTAATTATAAAGTGGAAGTTTCTATCCCAAAATTACTATACCGTAGGCTTGAAACTTCGCCTTGAAGGCAGTGGTTTTGGACAGAAAGGTGTCATCAATGGGTTCAAAAAAACGTTCCATCAAGGACTGACCGCGGTCCCTTCCCTCGCATCCTGTCTTTCTGACGAGTGATGCGAAAAGACTTCGACCTCTAAATACATGCTATTATAACAACACCACTCCCCTGTCCAATAAGGGCTGTCAACACTGATCACATGACGTCACGGTGGAATCAACTATATTCCTGTATTTGTAGGTGTTGCCTTGAACATGAAACTTTACCCATGAAACTTTACCCATGTACCACGCTGGTGTATGAAAGGACAATACATACTTTCGTTGTAGGTGACCTCGTGGAAGATCATGCAGGCAGTGTCACTTGGAATTTTTGAGAATAGTGTACCACCTTTAGCAATCCTGGAGCACATGTCTTATCTTCTATTATGGTTGAAAAATCAATACGGTGGCATCCCTTTTTGTGACGGTCCTTCCTGCCGACCCTTCGCCTCCAACGCATGAATGGTAGTCCTCAAGTTTCGCCTAGCATCATCCAAACAGAGACCTCGTAGATTGCGACCTGAGATGGCCGGCACAGGTGCGAGCTCTCCGAGAAACAGCGTGCTCGAGACGAGTCGCAGGTGTACGAAGTCTGGGTCGGCACAGCGGAGGCCAAGTCTTGCCTCCTTCTTGGTTATCGGATCACCAGAGCAGCGAGTCACGTTTCCGTCGACTGATGACGTACCGTTGAGCAGTGCAATATTACAGGTGCAGACACATTCGGATATGTGTTAAATTTCACTGCGTCAGTCATCCTACTATTTTAAGCCAACCACCGCCAGACTCGAGTTGCAACGGACTGTGACTCAGCTACTCGGCCACAGGCCAAGCAACACTTCCTTTGATTTCCTGTTTCTTTAGGCTCTAACTAACTAGCAGTGGGCATTGGATGCCAGTGAACAATGACTCATGAAATCCCTACCTAGGGATATCCGATAGATGCTTCGACTCAACTCCTGCCAGGCTGCCTGTTTCGAGTCCCGACTACGCAACATTTCCCAGAAGAAAAAATAATATGAAAATTTGGAAAGAACCTTGCTCAGCATAGTAACAATGCACAAACATTTCCTTGACCCTAATTCCCTCAGAAACAAAAAAAAAAAAAAAAATGAAAGCCGCTTACAACTCCCTGTAACGCCGAATTAGAGCGCAGCTCTTGAGGAGGAGGAGGGAAGGGAACTGGGGGGGGGGTTAAACTAACCAGGGGGGGGGGTCACGTTACCTTGGGGGTCACGTGACCCCCAATGCCGATGATGTCATCACTGACGTCACTGATGACGTCATCAGTGACGATGACGATGCGGGTACCGATGACGTCATTAGTGACGTCACTGATGACTTCACCAGTGATGATGACGATGACGATGCGAATGTAGGTGACGTCATCAGTGACGTCGCTGATGACGTCATCAGTGATGATGACGATGACGATGCGGATGCCGGTGACGACATCAGTGACGTCACTGATGACGTCATCAGTGATGATGACGATGACAATGCGGATTCCGGTGACGTCATCAGTGATGATGACGATGACGATGTGGATGCCGGTGACGTCATCAGTGATGATGACGATGACGATGTGGATGCCGGTGACGTCATCAGTGATGATGACGATGACGATGTGGATGCCGGTGACGTCATCAGTGATGATGACGATGACGATGCGGATGCCGGTGACGTCATCAGTGATGATGACGATGACGATGTGGATGCCGGTGACGTCATCAGTGATGATGAAGATGACGATGTGGATGCCAGTGACGTCATCAGTGATGATGACGATGACGATGCGGATGCCGGTGACGTCATCAGTTATGACGATGACGATGTGGATGCCGGTGACGTCATCAGTGATGATGACGATGACGATGTGGATGCCGGTGACGTCATCAGTGATGATGACGATGACGATGTGGATGCCGGTGACGTCATCAGTGACGATGACGTCATCGGGGGTCACGCGACATCGGCGGGGGTCACGTGACCTCGAGGAGGGGGCCACGTGACTTCGGGGGGTCACGTGACCCCCCACGAGGTCACGTGACCTTGGTGGGGGGCTCGCGCGGTGCATTATGGGACATTTCCCATGATGCACCGCGCGGTTACGCCGACGCCGACGGCGACGGCGACGCCGACGCCGACGGCGACGCCGACGCCGACGGCGACGCCGCTCAAGCCGGAAACGGGCCCCTAAGAGCTGCGCTCTAAAAAGCAAAAAGAAGGTGTTTGGATTTGTATTTTGCTTTTTGGGGGGGGGCGGGAGAGGGGGGTATTTCTCAAGAAATGTACCGAAAAACATTTCATTCTGATTGTATCACGATAAAAAGAAACGTTACACATGTATTCGATACATGAATAGAGATACTAGTGAAAAAGTGTATTGCGATACAGAAGTACAGATACGAAATGTATTGCTGAAATGCGATACAGCCGAACCCTGTCGTGTTGCGGCATAGGCCGCTGAAAGCTGACATTATCAAACGCATAGACAAGTGCTAAAAAGTGCTAAATGCTTAAAAAAAAGCACTGATTTTACTAAGCTCACGGTGCTGGATTGCCTGGGGTGACTCGTGGTGTCCGCAGTGGTCCATCGCAAGGTGAAACAAAGTATGCAGAGGCTAAAGTCAAAGGAAATGAGCGGGAATCCAATAGCTTGCTTGTAACTCTAACCCACTTGAATGTAAAACATATAACACAGAAAACAAGCATCAGAACGAAGGCAAAACTAAAAAGAAATTACACGTAAAAAAAAAAAAAGACAGGCGTCGGAGCAAAGCACAAGAGGAGGAGAGAGAAGTGAATCTCGCTTTGTTTTAATGCCGAAGCACTCAGATTTCGCACTCCGGAAGACTGCGCGCGAATGAACGTGGAAGGCAGCAGGGTTGGCCATTTGCTAAACAACGCTCCTCAAACTTTTTCAGTGGCGCGCGAGTCAAATAAATTATCGGAGCTCTGCGAGTTGCCCCCCGCACCCAGATCTCAGTCTTGGCGCGTGCGTGCTTTCTCCACGCCGACGCAAAAATAAAATAAAAAAAGACAGAGCAAAAAGGTTGTTGAGGAGCCATGCATGGCGGTTTCTTTCTTTGCCGCACCCTTCGTTTCTTTTGCTTGGTGCTTGGCTTCTTGTTTCGCTCTCGTGTAACGCCAGTGAAGCCCGTCGACAGCGCGTCCGAAAGGCGCCACCGCCCCCCCTCCCCCCCCCCCCTTTTCCTTCTGCTGTTTGCTTTGACGCTTGTTTTTTGTATTCATTTTATTTCTGAACAACTGACTCACTAACTCCCCCCCCCCCCCCCCCCCGAAAAGAAAATAATAAAAAAAGATTTAAAAAATGTAAAGACCCGGGCCCCATACCATTCCCATTCCATTCCGGGCAAAAGGCATATAATTCCATTCCCATTCTATTCCCCTCAAGGTTACCGCCATTCCATTCCCATTCCTTTCCGGGTTTGCGAAAATGTGGAATCATTCAGGAATCATTCCAACTCCGGGGTGACAACTCCGCAACACTGGTATGGGGCATAAAAAGCGATGAAAACAGATACAACGGCGCAATGGCAATGTAGTCTGACAGGCGGAGGCATTTTGGGATGCCCTTCACTTGTAGGTCACAGACAACTCCCCAGATGGCACTTGTTACTCGAGAAATGTCCATTGAGAAGTCAAATTGACTGGCAGAGCCAAAAACTTGTTTCGTCCTAAATATGGCGGGTGAATTTAATATGATGAGATTAGTTCAATCCACAGACTCAAAACTGCAAAAAGAAAACATGCAATCAATCAGCAACCGCAGAACACTTCATTGGTGGTCATTTTCTTAACATTGCCCCAAAAGGCCTGTCTGTCATTTTAGCAGTGTTACAGAGTGCTTGAGTATGTGGCGGTTTAACAGCTACCACACGAAAAAGTGTGGTAGGGGCGTGCATAGTACCTAGGTCGGAAGTAAGACCTCACTCTTCCATCTTGGCTCTTTCTTCTTTTTTCTTTCTTTATTGGTTTGTGTGTGTTTTTATATATATGTGTTAGCAGGGCTGTTGAAGGCATGTAGTTTATTTTCCATGCCCCATTCCATCAGAGTTGTGTTCATTGCTGTACTGTTAAATTCACAATTTGTTTCCCTCTGCAGACCCTTCAGTTGTGGTCCAGCGGCAGGTAGAAATGGACGCAGCGCGGCGCCGAATGCAAGCACAGCAGGATGCCCTTGCAGAGCAGCATAAAGCGAAGCAAAAGGAGGTAACTAGTTGACAAAGCATTGAAGTCATACTAAGCTCGTTCAGATCTGCTGTCAGAGTTCCATGACGGGATCTCACATTTGGGGACTACAAAAGCAGTCTAGTTTCCTTTAATGTGCAGGGATTCCAGGGCTGATCTAAGAAGTGAAAATGAAAAAAGAAGGCAGAACAGGAAGTAGATAGGACAGGAGAACAAAAGCATGGAACTTGGAATACAAAAAAAAACATTAAAGGAAGAGATCTCTTGGTGGATCCTTATGGAATGCGTGGACATGACCTTTGGGAAACGCTATTGCTGACCCCTTCACTTCTCTTTTTTGGTTTTCTCTTTTGCTTCCTCTATTTTTTGCAGCCTCTTTTTGGCTTCGTTCTGGGACCAGTGTGAATGTTTCCCTAGGGGGACGCGTATGGCGTTTTCCGATGCTCACGCTAACGCATTCCCTAAAGATCCACCAATGAATCTTCCTTTCATTTTTTGCCGCCTACTTGAACCAGTGCTAGTACTTGGTTCCCACTCCATTTTGTAGCACAAACCAAGGCATACGCACTCTGCACACCTGCAAGTTCAGACTCGCCCCAGCATCTGCGCATGCATTGGCTTCTGCACCACAATGTGGCCTCCCTCTCTCCTTTGTCCTTCATTACTAGCCTCTCTATGTGGCGCGCTTCCCTTTCTACCGTTTTGTTCACAGGCGGATACCGTCAGCTTTTCCCTGTCGTGTGGGCACTAATGCTAACGCACTAATAAAAATGAAACTACAACTTCTGAGACAATTTCAGAAACGGTGCTCTAATGTTAGAACAGGCTCAAGAAGTTGAATCAGTAATCATGTGAAAATGCGAACAAATGTTGTAGCAGTGTCCCCAGCATGGTGGAAGAAGAGAGAAGTATCTAAACAAGGCAGCGAAAATTTCCTCGGGCTTCACACATCTCCCAGCATGAGCAGTCGCGTGCCGTATGGCCTTGTAAGCGTGTGTACAAATAAGAACGGCTCCTGGATTGGCTCTCGTTGACCTCTCACTGGCTGCGCCATCTCACGACGTTTGTCAGAAATGTGAGCAATCCTTTGCCACACTTGCTTCGTGGCTAGGCGACGCCATTCAGGTGCATCCTTTTCCACCTTGGTCACGAGGAAGTAAATTTTTTATCTAAAATGTTTTGGGGAAAGAATTAGATTTAAAAGATGATTGTTCCTGTCTGGTGGCACTTGGTACCCAGAGTGCGTCAAGATGGTCTTTCGCACAACGTAATGTGCAATTTCCATGCCTCAAAATCCGAGAAATATGGCTTACGAAAAACTGTTGTTCTGGAAAGCAGTCAGCAGGGTGTCTAATTACTAAGATTAGTGCCGCTCTTTAATGCTGCACTGCTTGTCTCGGATCATTAAAAAGAAAATGGAAAGAATCTTGAATTTGTTTTACAGTCGGTGACAGGCTGAGAATTCTATGAAAGCTCTGCCTTCAGGCATATTGCGACCGCTTCCAGTCCCTCCGCTGTCGAGAAAATAGCATGTCATCTGTACTGTGACACGGTGATGGTGACATCGGTTTCAGTTGTGCGTAGGTAGCGAAGCTCTTTGCTGATTAAGTAAGATGACATTGTCACGAGTCAACAAGAGTTGTCTTTGCAGAATATAGAAAAGAAAGCCGGAAGAATTTTGATTTTCTGTTGTTGAAGGTGGTGGCGGGGCACGTTTGTAACTTTCCCTCAGCGTGCCTTCACTTGTGAAAGTGGTAAGATGAGGCAGTACCGCTTACCTGACTTAAGGAGACAGACACCCCCAAAAATTTTGTTAAATATTTTGCCAGGCGGTCTATTATGGTGTCAGAAGACTATATTGCTACAGAGTCACATATTTCTCTATTAAAGTAAAGCAAATGCAACTGCTCGAAATTGAAACTGGACTTAGGAGGAAGAAGTATAGGAGAGGAAAAAGTTACCAAAAATCATGTGGCTGTGCTATTTTGTTTTCAGTCAATGTATTTGCAGCTTTTTAAAAGTCACAAAAAATTAGTACTGTATTCATTTTGTATCTTTTTAGTATTGAGTGTGTGCCTTCGATGACCCACAACCTTGACTATCTTCGGTGGTTTGTTTAAACCATAGAAAACGGCACGTGACCATGAAGAAGAGAGTGAGCGCGACACAAACCAGCCATTTCTCAATCAGCGGTTTTCGGGTGGAAAGAAAACGAATTTCGAGGCGCAAATTGCGTTCTGGGTAATTGGGCTGTCATATGTCATGCACAAATAAAAACATTGGCAGGCATAAATGCCTTGTCAGTGTCCCTTTAACCCCGCAACTGGTCACAACGATGAGACTTGACTGGGGAACCGGGTACTTTCGCAGTTCAATAGGTACTGCTTCAAAGTTGTGATTTCAGTAGGCATCGTTTGTTTATCAAAGCCAGCAGAGAAGCAGACAGACTGGTGGGGGAGCACAGCAGAGGCATCACTTGAGCATCTCGTGCTTCATACTTCGTCGAAAGTGGTGAACTGAGCATTTTCACGTCGCCTAACAGAAACTGCCACCAAGAAACGCTCGTACCACTACAATCCTCCTGTGACGACATAACTTGAGTCGCGGGCGAGCAGCAAACTATTGTAGAGAAGCCATCGACACGTGTGGATGGTATATCAGGAATGGCACATAGGGGTCGTTGCGAGCTTTGGAACAATCCGCATCATTTTATCTTCTAATCTAAGTCTCGTGCTAGCATAACCCTTCACAACCTCCCTTTCTTTACTGAAAGATCTGCAAGACCGAGCACATAAACTTAGAGAATTTGATCAAAGCTCTTCTCATATCAGAAGTGGCGCAAGGGTTGTCTTAGCTGCACCGAGATACGAACAGGAATGCTGGCCCGTCATAGTTGCCGCAACGTCATATGAGGTTTGGGGGCTGAGAACTTTGTAGTTACTGCTGCACTCACTCCTCTACACTTTGCTGTGTTGTCGCAGACAAAGTTGGTACTTTTGCAGTTTTGGTGAAATCTTTGTTGCCCTGTGACTTGTCATGAACATCAAAGCTTTCAGGGTTGCAAGTATGGCGATGACCAGAGGGCTGACTCAGTCCGACAGTTCTTTCCTCTTGGCTACGATTCTGAAATAGGGAGTTCAATTTATGCAGTTCACCAAATATTGTGGCCACTCAAAGAACTTCTTAAATAAAAAAAAGGAGTGGCCAGCATTTGCCATCTTTTTTTCAGCGTGGAGATGTTTTCTGCATACGACACAATGACGGCTGGACTACACAAGTTCAGGTTGAAAACTTGGTTGTATCAGGATCTTACAAAATCGCCACTTAAGATGGACGTAGCTTCCAGAGAAATAGGAAGCATCTTCGCACAGTCTTTAAAGGCTTCGATGCTCGTGACAAGTCACAGGGTCACGAAGACTTATTGCCGAAATACCAACTTTACCTGTGGCAACACGACAGAGTGTAGTGCAGGGAACACAGCAGAAGCGCCGTGCAAAATTACCGTATATACGTGTGTAATGGCCGCGGGTATTTTATGATTTCAGGAAAAGAACTAGGGGTGCAACCATTACACGGAGAAAAACAAAAAGAATTTTTGGAAATCCTTTTTGTTTTTGTTAAAAGTTTCACTACTTGCCTTCATTAAGGGGAGACGCGGGTCTTAAAATGGTCAAAAAACTCGAAATTTCACGTTTTTCAAAATTCACATATTTGGATTAATTGTAGTCTAAGGTACCTGCCTGCAAAGTTTCAATGTCGAAATCAATGTCTAAACATGAAAAAAATGATATTTACGATGTCCCCGCAGAGCCCTAACACAGCGAGTTCAATGAAAACAAGTGGAACTTCGCGCCCCGCGCGTTTCGCGATCGCTCGTCGGATCGCGGCCATCTTGGTCTTGTTGGAAAGCCGCTTATTTTCCCCACGTCGTCATGCCATTCGTTATCGCGACAACATCGGGGAACGTCCGCATTCCGCGGGTTTCGAAAGCCCCAATTGCGATCTCTCATTGGCCTGCTAGCAAGGTGCCTGTACGTCAGAGCACGCGCGGCGCCTAGCGCCCCTGCTATTGGCCTAAACGCGCCCCTCCGCTCTTTTTCTCCTTTCCTCCTTTCCGTTCCCGCGCTGGCAAGAGGTGCGTCGTCTGCTCCTGGGTCGTCTCCGCCCGTCTCCTTAGGCCTGTCTGCTTTGTTTCCTCCGTGGTCGAGCGCACGTTTTAGTTCCCGTTTGCGCGCTTGCGTTGAATATTGGTTCGTTTTCCTACGAAGTCGCGCGTGTTTTGTTTTGTTTCGCTTCGAGTTCTCGAGATGCCGGACGACGCTCGGTTGAAATCGAGCACGCGGCAAGCGTTCGGAAGGAAGAGGAAGCGACCGTGGAACAAGAAGCCGAAGCTGTCTGCTGGAAGTGCGCCACCGCGATCGGCACCGCCGGATGCCTTGGATCTTCCGGAAACATCAGCCGGAGACATCGCGACTCCATGCAGCAGCGGCAGTTTGTCGAGCTTTGCGAGCGCGGTTCGTGTCGACACCGCATACTACTCCACGGCCGAGCAGGCGCAACGAGTCGCACGATCGGACGAATGCAAGCGTGCGCTATCGGAAAAGTCGGCGACCCGGCGCAAATTCGACCTTCTCGGTGTCACCACAGGAGGCCAGACGCGCGACGCTGGGACACAGTTCATTGTAGTGGACATGAAAGCTCTCAGAGCATGGAGAAGGACAATCCGCGTAAGGCCAACACTGCCCACCAGAGCAGCAGCAATGCAAAGCAGAGGTTCTCCAGGCAACACCAAACTGGAACAGCTGGGGACTACAGTCCTGGACAGCTGTGAGGGGCTCCCCTTTCAAGTGCTACACGAACAAAGGCCCTTTTCAAGGCCAAACAAAATCTGCTTTCGGAACGTGCAACCCTTGGTGCTTCCTCCCGTTGTCCCTTATAGAGTCTACTCATTCTTTTATAACGTTATTTTACATTGCAGACATTATTTCTCAGTTTTATATTATTTCTAAAGGTTCTTGTGA